TCAGTTTATATGAGTTTTATTGAATATGAGATTAGAGCAGTAGTTATTATATGACAGTTCAGTATTCTGTGATTTACTCATGAACTGCCCTTCTTTCTTCATCTGCAAATACCCTGCAGAGTTGGGCAGAAAACATGGCATCAGCTAAACCAAAGAAATGGAAATGAGAATAAACATGTTTAAATCTTGGGGCACTGGAGAGCTTTATCATGCTCATCTCCTATCTGGTGTTATTGATCTCTCTTAGTGCAGGAATCAGGCTGTGAATATGACCTACAAAAGTGGCAAAGATTTTAAACTTTATTATACCAGCTTGGAATTCAGCCTTCATTGGAATGGAAAGGGCAACTGTTTGGGAGATACGTGTGCATCAAGGTAATTTATTCATAAACAGGAGAGGAAGAGAGTGGTAGTAGCAGCCATAGAGGACAGGTGGAAAAGAAAACACAACTGGACATATCAGAAACACAAAGCTGTTCAGTTGGGATACTAAGGCCTTGGGAAGCTGAGGATAATGCCACAGGAATATGTGAGGGATGCTACGATGCTCAGTTCTCACAGATGCCAATAAGAATTTCTAGAACAGAACAAGGGGCTACATTAGTAATTATTGTAATAATATTATTTTTTTTCATTTCTATTCTATTTAAATTTAAACATGAAGACCTTGATCCAAAGGCCATGGGAGGCAGCAGGTCTCTAGTTTACATCCACACCTATCCAATTAAGTCAAAACTGAACTCCTGTCTTTAAGGCTTTCGGTGGCCTCCACCCAGGATATCTGAGAGGCTACACTCTGGGACGAAGATCACGCCTGATAACTAAGAATGACTGAACTTTTTTAGGAAAGGTAATCCTGTCTGCCTGTTCCTTTGCACAGAATGAGACAAGCCTGTGGAGTACTTTCCTGCAAGAACTAAGGATAGTGCAAAACTTTTACTATCTTGCTTAACCACAAGGTATGTTTCTCTGATTTTGGTTTCTTTTACATAAACCCACTGCACGTTTGCCTGGGTGTTTATGCATTTGTGTCAAAGTGCAAACTTCTCTCCTAGAGACAAACTGACAACAGGCATACAGCAGATGTTGGTCACTTTGCTTAGCATGTTGCTGGGACTTGTGTGTTCTTTGCAACTCTAGAACAGACCAGGACAGAAAGGAGCTCTACCACTCCAAAGAGAAACCAAAGGGAGGTTTTGTCTTTACTTGTCTTCTCTTGTGAAGATAGAACAAGAGAGGGGGGTTATTCAGCCTGGAAAAGAGAAGGTTCTGGGGAGACTTTATAGCACCTCTCAGTACCTGAAAGGTATTAGAAGAAAGCTGGAGAGGGACTTTTCACCAGGGCATGTAGTGATAGGGGTAGTGGCTTCAAACTGACTGAGGGCAGGTTTAGATGAGATATTAGGAAGAAATTCTTCACTGTGAGGGTGGTGAGGCACTGGCACAGGTTGCCCAGTGAAGTGTGGATCTCCCATTCCTGGAAGTGCTCAAGGTCAGGTTAGATGGATGTTTGAGCAACCCGGTGTAGTCCCTGCACATGGCAAGGGGGGTTGAAACTAGATGATCTTTAAGGTTCTCTCCAACCCGAACCATTCTATCATTCTATGATTTTGCTGCTGCTATCTTTGTAATGAGGAATACACAGTAACTGCTTCAACTGGGCTGTTTCCCGGTATTGTTGATATTTAAACTTTCAGCTAAAAAAAACCAAAAAACTCCACATTTAAAATCTTGCTAAAAAAAGAGTTAGGATTGCAAATTCCTGTGCCATCCTTTTTTTTTTTTTTTCAGACATTGGCTCTGCTGCATCCATGGGTCAAAGTTTTGTGCACTATTTCATTAGCCACAGTTTTACTACAGACCTGTACATGCAGAATGTCAGCTTGTGCCTCTGCTCCTCTTCAGCTGCTGCTGATAATGATAAACTGGGAGGTAACTGCTGCTTTGTCTGCTTTGGAAAGATTTTGTAGGTTGGTTGTATCTCCGGCGTTCTTCAGACCACAATTTCAATACAGAAAACATTCAGGCCAGAGTGATGGGAGACAATGACAGTCATTTGAAATGAGGTTTAGCAATAAGTTTGCTGACAAATGCATTGGGATAATGCTTGTAGAGAAGTGTGCTCTCAGAGATGTGACTTGTTAATTCAGTCTGAGGGAAGAAGGTTCAGACCCATCATTTACTGGAGCCCATTACAGAACTTAATCTGAAGATTTTGACATATTTCCAAGACAAATATGCTACCACAAGTAAGACATGTTCAATAAGGTGTGTGTTCTAGGAAATGAGGACTGTAATTGCCATACTGAAAGAGCTTGTTGTCTGTGCAATTTAATAACCTTCTCCTAGCAGTGTCCCTTCTGACGCAACATGATTCAGAGATGAATCATGCCAAGCAAATGGCAAGTGTCTTTATCATCACATAGCAGACTTGACCAAATGGTTACTGCTTATTATTGGCAGACACGGTAGGATTTGAGCCTTACAGCGTAAAACACTAGGAATTACATCCCCTGTAGTGCTTGTGCCTCTTCATTAAACATCATGAGGATGTTTATAGTTTCCTTCTTACTCTGCAAATCACAGCACTGGCCCAAACTTTTCAGCATGAGTTTTCTCTTTGCTTGTAACAATGAGTTAGACTGAAATTCTTTCCAAGTAGCTCTGCTCGGCAAGACAGCTTATGACAGAAACAGAGGTCCAGTACCATTGCCCTTGGCCAGCACTTAACCGAGACACACTTACTTAGCCTTTATAATCTTTCCTTGTGAAACAGTTTCCCCAGCCAGGTAAGAATTTCTGTCACCATTTTCTGACCTCTGTCCAACTTCTAATTTTCCCACTTGATACTGAGTGAGCAAAACGAAATTTGCTATCTTGGCTGCAACCCACATCATTAAGGAAAAAAATGTGGAATGAGAGAAGTACAAAGACATAGGTCACTTGTTGTGCAGTGTTGCAACAACAAAAGAAATATTCACAAAAATACAGGGTGTGAAAATTAGAAACACTTTTTAAGATTTTAAAACCTGCAAAATACTGAGGAATATGCTACATGTAACATTTTTCTCCTGTAGTAATTCAGAGGCACCATTGTAAGATAACTGAGCTTTAAAAAAGCAACCAAGTCATCTTAAAATCAAACCACTAGTCTAAGATCAGTAATATCTAGGTAAAGCATTGCCTTGCACCTCATTTACAATATGAGCCACCATTCCTTATTTTAATACTTGTTTATGTATCCAGGTGTTTATGTATCTAAGGTGTCAACAAAGTTGCAAAGCAGTGCAGTGTTTCATCCATAGGATCTTGCTTAATGATTATGATATAAGACAGCAAGTGTTTGGGTCAAATCTTCTCAGATACATTTCTAGCTTCGCTCATATCTATAGATGTACTTTGCAATGTCAAAGGTTGTTTGTACTGCACTACTTTAGGGCTCCAAGGAATACTGGAGCTTCTGCCTACCAGCACATTTAATTGCTAAAAGAACAGCAGTTCTCTATAACTAATTTTTGTTTGTTTAGTTTAGAGCACCTTTATGTAAATCTTTATATAAGATTTGCTTCTTATACAGTTCTGGTGTTTTACATGGTGCTTCTTTCAAGATATACTTCTTACAGATGCCTCCAATTGAGTAACTGGATGATTGGTAGTGTTACAGTCTGGTCTTAAAATCTGTGTGTCCGTTCACTGGTTGTGAAGTGACAGAAAATAAGTGTTACTAAGATAAGAAATTCTCTAACCTAAGGTATGGGAAATTTTGTTCCCCTATACGTGGGAGACAGTGTGCTCTTCTGAACACCCAGTGCTAACAACAAATATTACCATTGAGAGAAACGGATTTCAGTACATGAACTGGAGTTTGCAAAAACTTCTAGCATCCAAAACTCTTAATCTGAAAAATTTGTAAAAGAATGTATAGCATAGTCAGTGATCTATGACCTAAACTACTTATGCTAAGCATTAGATCAGCATGGTTTGGGTGGATACAGTAATTGTCAAGTGAAGCTTAACAGCACAGCCCATCCCAGAGACCTGTGGTTTGTTTACAAAAGGTCCATGACCTACCCACCTCTCTGGGGCTGTCTTGGTGTCCAAGGAAATTTGAGCTCATCCCTTCCACAGATACCAGCTAGGACAGACCAACCTTAAAGATTGAGAGTGTCCCTTGTGAGTATTCTCAGAGGACATTTCTAGTGTAGAAAAAATGACTTCAAAAAGTATGTGATATCAGTGTGAAAATGGTAAATGTTTAGGGATATAGTAAATGGTCAGTTGTCTTTTTTCTTTTCCTTTTTTTTCCTGATTGAAAAGCCAACGAAAGATAATTTCAGTTTTTCAATTCTCCCCATGTCAAAACTCCTTTTGGGCCTTAAAGCAATGTTTGAAAGCATGGCTAAGTGTCCTTGGGGACATCAGCACTGTGGAGATTCCAAATTCCTCTTCCCACCAGGCAACCTACATAAACAGAACACTGATTTATTTATTTTTATCGCTGCCGCGCCCACCCACACTGGCTCCCCGAGGCGGAATCCAACAACCTCTCGGGCACACAGTGTGGCTCCTGCGGACGGTCCTCTGCAGGGCTAAGGGTCTCTGTGACTCTGTGAACCAGGCTGAGCTTTGCTGGGTCTGAGGGTTTCCCAGGGCGCTCTCCACCTTTTCCCGCACTCAGGTCACCCGAGGCCGCGGTCCGTGTCCGCTCTCCCTGACCCCACGACGGCGCCCCCGAGGGCTCGAACAGCCCGAGCGGGAGCGGCGCCCGGCTCTCGCTGGGCTCTGCCCTGCTCTGGAGGAGCGGTAGGCAGCGCCCCAGGGGGGAACAGGAGCAAAAGCCGCCCTCCCTGCTTTATTTATCAGCTCATTTCTGTCCCCTTTCCCCCCCCCAACCCGCCCCGGAAGCCGTCGCTCGATCTGCCCGGAACCTTTGGAGCCGGAACGCAGTTTGGCGGCGCGGGGGCCGCGCTGGAGCACGGTGCTGGCTGGACCTTGGGGAAGATGGCGGCGGCCGTGGCGGGCCCACGTGGGCGCGGGACGGCGGCTGGCGCGGGCACGGGCACGGACAGCGGTAACGAGGGCGGGAGGGTCGGAGCGTGGGCCCCTCTCTTCTTCTAAAGCCTGTGTGCCCCCCACTGTGGGCCGTCGCTGGCCCTGGCGGCCTCTCCTCTCTGCCCCGTCCGAGCCCGCCGGTGGGTGTGAGGCCCTTCATCCCCCCCGCTCCGGACCCTGGGCCGGGGCTTGGAGCCGTCTTCGCGGGGGATGGGAGCTCAGGCCCCGGCACAGCCACCTACTGAAGCTCCTTCTCAGCCCGGGGTCCCGTGTGTGGTATTCCCGCTGTGCCTGGCCCTGCCCTCTGCTCCTGCCCTTCTCTACTCAGGTGGGGGGTACCGACAGCAGCTGGTTAATTCCCTGGGCCCACCAAAATAACTTTCGCTGCCTCCTTGGGAGAGGGGGGAGCGACTGTGCAGAGCTGCAGAAGTTCCGTGTCTGTGCCAGACCGGGATCTGCTTCTATTCCGAAGAAATAGGGGATATGCAAGTTAGTGATTCACCAGGAGAGCACAAACACTCGTACTCCATCCTTTACGCACAGTTCTGCGCTCGTTCTTGCCTCCTCGTGTGTTGAGAGGGTGTACCTAACTAGTTGTGATTGCTTTTTAATTATATCTTGTAATTGGATTACTTTTTTTTCTTTATTTTGGGAGGAATCAAGGTTGTGGCCCTTTGGAGCTGTAGCTCACATTGGTTCTGTTTGGTGTGAGGGTCAAAACTGAACCCAAGGGAAAGCTTTGTGTGGGAGCTTCTTTCAGAGCTCATTTTGGAATGTTTTCCATATTTAACTGTGTGTCCATACCTTCATCACTGAGCAAGTTTAAAAGAGTAAAGTATGGAAATATGTATTTCCCACACACACAATTAAGACTTTTTACATTAAACCTGTGCCAGGCTTTAAGCTTTGGAATTCAGAATAGAGCCCCAGATCCTACTTCTGATAGAGTTAATCTAGTCTAAATTACTTTGAAATAGTAGTTTATTTGCTTTATTTCATGCTGTTGTCTGATACTCTGATGTGTAAAAGAGTAAGTTACAGCTGGTCCTTGAAGCCTCGTTAATCTCTCTGTAATTGTTGAAAGCAAAATGTTATTGGTATTATCCAGCACTATCCTCATATTTTACTGGCAGAAAATATTATGTAAAGGAAATTGATACATAATTCTGCAATTTTCCTTTTTATAAGTCTGATGTGTTTTTTATGACTTACTGTCAAGCAACTGGGGAATTCACGTTTGGACTTTTGTTAGTTGTTAGCTTTTGTATCTATAAAAAAGTCATAAGTGGGAGTTGATTAATTGTTTAAAAACTAGATAGTGTTATCCTAGCATGGACAAGGCCTAGGGGTGAAAAGTTGACATTGTTTTACCTGTAGGAACCAGGCTGTGGTGATGCACCAGCTTCTTCATATGCAATGGTTTGAATTTATTTTTTTTAATCTGGAACTCAGGATATGGAAACATACTGATATCTAAAAGGATATAAAAGGATAAAAAGGATGCCTTTAAGTAGTTAGTGAATGTGTTGAACATATCTGCAGCTCCTAAATTTCCACCTTATGGTAAGGACTGTTGAAAAAAAACCAAACCCATTATTCATCTCAAGCAGAGTGTGACACAACACTGTGTGTACCTTGATGCTAGTAAAAGTCATCCTGATCTAGATCATGACTAAGTACTCAGTAATTATTTCTCTTCCACATTTGTTTTGTAAACATATAATTTTACTCCTTTCTCTGACAGTAACTAAATGCTCTCCAAGCCTCTAAACGTGCCTGGGCATTAGAGGTTTTGTTTTAAATTGATTAATGCCACTGCTTTGCTGCTATGTTGGGCTGTTTTTTTCTAGTTTAAAAAGGCACATGGAGAAGGCAGAATAATGAATAAGTCTGGCAACAGAGTGTATGTTTATGTTTGCTAAGTAATTAAAAAGACAGTTGGTTAGTGGGGAATATCATTAATAGCTGTCTGCATGGGTTTATAGAAAACAGATCTTGTGAAGCAGTTCCGACTTCGTTCTCTTAATGATTTGATTGATAAAGGTAGTTCATGACATATAGTAGTGCTTACAAAGTAAAGCACTTGGCTCAGTAGTACTGTGAGTACAGTAGCAGTAATAGTAGTAGTAGTACTCTTTTTCAAGTAGTGTGAGTGCTAGATGGATGAAAGTGAATCAACTGGTGGGGAATTGGCCCCTTACTGGTGGGACTGGGCAGGGATCAGAAACCGCCCTCCTTCTGTCCAGCACTTGATTTGTGGCCTTGAAAGTTGTATATAAGGAAATTTCATGTGACACAAATATTAGTGGAATAGTAGTTAATAGTAGCAGGAAATATGTATGCTGTACTCTTCATTATGTGATAAAGTGGGTCCACTGAAATAACCAAATAAATTTTAGCACACCCTAAACTTGCAGCCCATTTCATTCTAGTTAATCATCTGCACCATTAAAGACTTTTATTTTTGCAATTTGACACACTGAACAGACAAATGAGGGAAGTGGCAGATTATTCATGTGTTTGATGTGCCATCTAGTTGGCTGTTCTGTGCTGTTTTGATGTTGCTTGATTACTAACTTCGATATTGTCACTTCAGCTCCTGTTGTTTTGTTTTGAAGGGCTCATAGGGTAAGGAAACTTGAGTTTGGGTGTGTTTTATTTCTGTATGAAGAACTTGAACAGTTACTTATGCCAGAAGAGCTTAGTGCCTCTGGTTTCTTTGAGTACCTGATGACTCTTTTGAGCCTGTATTTCGCAAGACAATCTCCCCTTTGTTCATTATACTTTGGTAATTGTATTTTTGATGGCATTGTTTTCCCTGGGCACATTTTTCTTTCACATAAGGAATGCCCTCCCAGCTTCAGTTTAATCCCTGTGGCTGTTTGCACTCAAACACCAGATGTCACTGTTGCAGTTTGTATGTGTGTGTGTACATACACATGTGTATACATACACATATGTATATATATGCATTTATAAGTTATAATTTCTGAACTGGGAAATATAGGGTTTATATCCAAGGCTGCCTTTTCCTTTTTAGCCATCCACTTCAATCACCTTAAATCATTACTGAGATGAGCAAGCACTTGCATTGCATAGTTTCTAGTAAATTCATTATGATGGTGTTTGCCTGCTTGAGGAAGTAATTGTAACAGTACATGTGCAGCAGTACGTGGCCCTGGACTTGGATAACATTTACATATGGAGCAAATTGCACCAGTGATGGATCCTTACCAAAAAAAAGAACTGATAATTTTTTTTTTTTTTTGATCCCTAGATTCTGAGTTAAGCTCAGAACTTCCAGAAGACAGCTACTCTTCAGGAGATGAAGCCCTGGATGGTGATGATGAAGATGAAACAGCAGCCCCTGGCAATGTGGTTGAAGAGGCAACAACCTCCAAAGATGGCCCAAGTTCAGGCTGGGCAGATGCCATGGCAAAAGTGCTCAACAAAAAGATTCCACAGAATAAGTCCACCATCTTGTCCAAGAATAAAAGCTTGGAGAAGGAGAGAGAAAAGGAAAAACAAGAAAGGCTGGAAAAGAGGATGAAGGTGAGAAAAAGATGAAGTATTTCCTATGTAGTCATAGTCAGGTGAGCTACTACATGCAAGATAATCTCAGCAGAGATTTGGGAGGGTGCTCTGAGACCATCTCAGTGTTGGAATCTCTCTTCCACAGTGATGTCAAGTAACTTCAATTTTTTTACTTTCCAGTCATGTTGTGTAGGGCTTTTTCCCTTACTGCATTTTCTGGGTCATCAGGCAGGCTGATCTTTGGCAGCAGGACTGTTCCAGTCTGTCGGCTTAAGGTGTTTTTGTTGTTGAGAGGGTGAAAGCAGCTGCTTAAACTTGGTTTTCTAATTCTGTTGTTAGTTTGGAGTGACATTCACGTGGTCGGAATTAAAAGTCGAAATAGTTCTGTATCACAAAAGGTGAGAGGGAGAAAAAGAAGAAAACTTCTTTCATTTAAATTATGCCACAACGTCCGAAATCAAGGCCTCTAGGCTGAGACTGCAGTAACTTTTGATGCGGTTGTGAATACTTGTTTGCTCTCCTCAATTATTTTCTTGATTGGAAACTACTGTTTCTACTACTGTAGAAAACTCTGTCTGTTCCCTAAATAGCTTCTGGTTCTGAAACTGTTATGAAGAGAGCAAAATTATGTTGGCAAGTAAGTCTTTTGTTTGTGTCTTTAGTGGAACTTTTAATTTCAGGCTGTGATTGATTTACCTTCAGGCTACAAATACATTAATGGTACTAATGTGTCATCTTACCCGTTCTGTTTCAGTGGGATAGCCAGGTTAGTCACCTGACAGTTTGGGACATGCTGTGGTTGGGCCACAGCTTGCCTTTTAAATACAGAGATGCTTCAGTACAGCATCTGCGCAGTTATGGTTGTCCTAAATACCTGTTCTCATCCAGTAAACACGTGGGAATACTGCAGAACAGAGGTGGGCTACAGGTCCCCAAACTGACTTGTTTACCTTAGGAAAACTTGAAAGCACTCTGCCTGCCACTGATTGCTTGCTGATGAAAGGTAGGATAGGGCAGTTCTTTTGATCAAAGGCCAAAACATGGTCATAAACTCAGAAATTCATAGTGGTTTGCCTGGAATTATAAAGATAAGGACTCTGAAATTCCACTAAAAACTTCTTGCATAAAACAGATTTAATGGAACATCACCAGGCCTAGAACACTGTTAAATTGTTCAAAGGGGAAGAAAAAATTTCACTACCTTACTCCTGAAGCAGAGGTTGTGAAATACAGTGGTCTCCTATTTTAGCAGAAACAAAGCTGGTGATATTGTGGCCCCTGGTAATGGAAAATGCATCAGTTTGGCTTTGAAACAGAGAGACTCAAAAGAAAAAGACAAAAATCAGTATTGTACACGAGTTGTTGTCTGGTGGACACTTGATGCTCTTCCTGGTGTTTGAGTTCTGCCTGTTGCAGTCTTTGATGTGCCTCACTGTTGGTCACAGAGCTGTACTGGGGTTGATTCTGTGGGGAAAGTCAAATTCCCAAGGCTCAAAATGTGATGTGCCTGTCTTGGTAGACACAGGATTTTATTATGTATGAATTTCTCTGTGATCAGCTTGTGAGTCTTGGAGTTGAAAGCGGTCTTTGAATAATTTCCTTGGTCGCAGCAGTTAGTGTGAAAGCATTTTTATTCTAGACTTTTGTCACTGAAAGTAGGTGATTCTTTGAGATTTGGCTGTGGGCCCTGGTGTGTCAACGCAAGAGACTTACCTCAGACCTGTTGTGCAGCCCCATATTGGAGCCCCCCTTACCCTCAAACCAAACTGAACTTTGCAGATTTTTTTTTTCCTCCTGCTACATACTCTATCAGAGTATGCTGCATTCTCATAACAATATTTATAATGCAGCTCGATAAAAAGCGGGAATGGGAAATGATGTGCCGAGTGAAGCCAGATGTTGTCAAAGACCGAGAGAAAGAAAGAAATCTTCAGAGAATTGCCACAAGGTAAGAGTTTTTCTGAATGCTTTCCTTAAATATATGTATATCAAAAAGAGGAGGAAAAGGGGAAGAAAAGGCTTATGCAGGTAATCTGTTTCCAATCAGTTTGAACTCTTAAGAAGTGACTACCAGGAGCCGAGAGATTTATATACAGGTCTGCATTGTACAGTATCAAGTTCAGCAAAAGATTTCAGAAGCTTTATGAAAGAGTAAAAATTTAGGTGGGAATCTAATATTTGCTTAACAGAAGTGCTTTCTTGAATCCCATCATTTTGTTAATTTAATGCTTTAAAAATGCAGAACAGTTGTTTCTACTGTTCTGGTGTTTTGCTTCTCCTCAGAGGATTCACCAGACTGGTGGCTGTAAAGTTCAGTCTGTTCAGTGTTGCAGTAGTTTGGTGTCACCAAACTAGTTGAGCACCTTGATGTGCTGCCTGTGTCTGCCTCCTTAATCATTGCTCTGCTTTGTCCCCTTACTTCAGCTGCCCTTGCGATCTTGTCTGAGGAATTTAATATCTGGTTGTAGGACGAGTAACGTGCTTCTGAGGATGAAACATGCTCATGCACTGATTTCAGTGCCAAGTTACTATGCTTACTTCAGGGTCTGAATAGTTATGTGTGGATTTGTTTGTTACTGGTTCCTAGCAATAACTGTAAAGGAGGAGTGAACATTATAGCAAATGTTACTTCTTAACCAAATTGAGGTTCCCACTAACCATTCTGGGGAGCTAGAAGCTGTCCAGCATTTGCACCAATTAGTTGCTTTGGTAGGGGGTTCATTTCTGTAAAAGGAACTTGAGTTAAAAAATTTTTTCTGTTGTTTTTTTCCCCTATCCCAGAGGTGTTGTACAATTATTTAATGCTGTCAGGGCGCACCAAAAGAACATTGATGAGAAGATGAAGAAAGCTGGAAGCTCTGACAGGCGGCGTGCTAAACTGCTGTCTTCTGTTTCGAAGAAAGATTTCATCAATGTTTTAAGAAACATGGAGGGTGCTAAAGGAGGCAAGAATGATGGAAAGGCCACAAAATGTAAAGAGGTAGGCTTCATCTGTGAGAAGAAAATGCATGCAAGATACCTTCTCAGTATAGTAACTGTCTGTTAATGTGTCTGCTCTTCATAACAGCTGTTATGAAGATCCAAATGGCTGGGGTGTTTTGAGACTTCTTAGCAAGTGAACAAGTAGCTCTTAGCCTGTTTTCTCTGTATTTTGAGTATCAAAATACAAAGTGCTGTATGTTAAAAAAAAAAAAATAGGGTTTTTTTTCTTGGGTTTTGCACCAAGCATGGAACAAACTGCTAGATTATAGTGGGTCATGACATTTGGAATTTGGCCAGTAATAGCTCCTTAAAAATTGTCAGAGACATGGAGGCTCTTCGTCTTACATGGTGTATTAGACTGTACTACTTGTGTGTACCCAGAGTTTAGTCATGTCAAACTCACTTCCTTTCGATGATTGTGGTATCCGGAACTGAAGGGATTTGCTGTACAAAGTGAATACCACAACAGAAAGAAATAGAGACATATTAAACATTATATGTAGGCTTTTCTTTCCCTGATTCTGTATATGTATTTGGGCTGATGTGGCTTCATTGCTGTTATGATATTTTGGAAAGAAATACATTCCACTTTTTCTAATGTATTTGAGACGCAGTGTAGTTAGACTTGTCCAACTCTTCAGTGATTCTTTCAGCTCACCAAGTAGCTCAGGGTTGAAAACAAGTTCCTCAGACATACTCTCTCTCGTATTTCAGAAGCTGCACGTTTTTGAAGCGTATTTGTGTTCAGGTTTGAACTCTGTGCTCGGTAGTGGGTGGAATACTGCTGTTGGCCCAGACTCACAGCAGTTAACTAAGTGCTTTTCTGTGCCAGGAAGAAATACTTTAATCAGTTGGGAGACAACAGTTTGTCATATGTTTTTTGTTTGTGTGCACTTGGGGAACATGCTGAAACACTGCCTAGCATGAAGTGCTCATACAATTTTCATGCAAGTGTAATATTAAAGTATTTTTTAAATTCTTTGGATAATGAGAACAATTTAGCTTGGTGCTGACACTTTATTTCTCCTTAAATAATTCCAGCTTGCTTGTTTGGTTGGGGGGGCGTGCATGTGTGTGGTTCTCTTTTTTTTGTTTGGGGTTTTTTTTCCTCTCCTGGAATAGCAGAATATCAGAACAATAGCAGTGCCAACTAGTGTTGTAGTCAGCATTGAATCAATAGCTGAGCAAGAACTAGGACCTTTGTTTTCTTTTGTGTCAGATTGTAGCAGGACAATTTTCTAATTAGTAGGTCAGAAAACATTGCAAATGTTTCTATACTATAAAAAAAAAGTCTTATTTTGGCAGCATCAATAACAGCATATTTCTATTCAAGTGCTCTGGAGATGGTTTAGAGGCTGGCTGGTTAGTGTTGGGTTTGACTGTTAGTGTAGGTGCTGCCTTCACATTGCTTGTGAACAAAAACTGGACAGGGATCGAGGTTTTTGGTTGGGTTTTTTAATAGCATGTCTGCCTAGACAGACCACCCCTCTTCCTCTCTTCTTTGCTGCCTCTGCTTCAGTGACTCTCCATTCAATACTGAACCAATCTCTTCAATAACTCCTTTTCAAGCTGTTTTTAATCTTCCTTATTTTCTCTTGAGAACATATCTTACTCATTTAGCAGGCTCCCATCCTGGTAGTTAATGCTTGAGCTTGAGGCCAAAATCTGATCTGCAGTCTCCTCTTCAGAATTACACAGACATTTAGCCACTGAACAGTATTATTGGCCTTCACTGTCATAGCTCTGCTTCTTGGTCTTTGGGGGTTTATCAGAGGGTAGTAAGCAGGGATGAAGCTTTTTGGTAGTGAATTCCTTGCAGCAGGAGTTTGGTAGTTGTTTATGCCATCTGAAAGCTTTTGTTTGTTTGTTTGTTTTGTGGGTTTGTTCTTTCTAGCAGCCTGCTTTGTTTTTACCATTTGAGAGTATAGCATGTATTTAATTTTTAGAAAAGAGGGGTGAAATATATTTATTTATCTCAACAAAAACAACGGAAGAGATGCCAATCCCAAACTCCAGGCATTCTGCCATCAATTAAAATGCAGTCCAGAACAATAAAAACACTACCCCACCCACATGAAACAAGCAGTCTGCAGGAAAAATAGCAGAATAAAGTTTTACCAGTGAAAGCAAACCCTTCTTAACTCAAGCCCTGTGCTGTGAGAGGAGACTTGACTGTATTTGTGGGAATGGGCTAATGCTTCTTCTTGCTCTGCAGTACTTTTTGAATGCAGAATTTGCTGGGTATTTGTGAAAGTTTGGTGGTTTCTTCCAGATGTCAGGGATTGTTGAAGAAACCCCTTATAAAGCTCTGTTTTGATTGACTTCTTAGTCAAGTATATTTATGTGTGAGAAAAAGAAATTGAATGCTCTGTAAAGGCCCATCTGCAGCAGTGGGATTTCATGGTAGCACAAGCACTTCTTAAATTTGGTTCTCTATTTCCATCAGCTTCAGACATTGATGGGAAGGGCAGGTAACCTGTGCCCATGGGAACGTTGTTTATAGTCTTGTATACTTTTAGTCATTGGCCTAATTATTACTGGTGTACACCGACCAATGTAACTGCGAAAAAAAAGACTTCAAGGCTGTGAAAGTTTTCTTGTGCCCGTCTTGTGAAACTGTAGCCCTTCTTGGGGTTTCGTGTGCCCAGATGGGAGTAATTACTTTTCTGAGCTGGAGCCAAAAGCTTTGCCTTTCATATCATTAGCTGTTTATCAAGGTATTTCTTAATCCTTGCTGAGCCAGCTGACTTGTGTAATATTTTATACTGTTTTTTTTCCAAGGGATGGTGCACAATTCTTGCCTCTGGGTAAGATCATCTAATATTCTTCCCCTCACCACCTTGTTTGAAGCCTTGCAATGTGGGAGAAACATATAATAATTTTCTTTAAAAAAAAAAAATCCTACATGTTTGTTGTTTGGGGGGAGGGTTAAGTTTTGGGGTGGGGTTTTTTGGGAAGCATTTATTGGCAGATATGAAAGCTTTCAATCTTGTTCAACACAATCCTTACAGACCAGATTTTCATTTCAGTACGTTTTGGTCGTATCTTGCAGCTTCCCACCTGTAAGACACTGTAAGAAATATTATTAAACTACAGGTTTAGAAAAGATACATATCAGAGCTGCTGTTTTTCCAGCCTTGAAGGCTGAGGTCGTGTTTATGTCCGTGGAAGAAATACAAAAGTAGGTAGTGGCAGTAAAGGATTCCTTGCAGGAATCTTTTGTTTTCTTTAGGTCCTGAAGAAATTTCTGGGTGCTCTGAGGAAGTACCTTTGCTTCCAGGGTTGAATGAAGTTTCTGATCTCTTACAGTTGCGCAGACATGTTGGCTGATGTTGTGAATTACAAGAGGTCTTGAAATCTTAATTGTAAGGAAGCAAAGAATTTCAGAGTTAGCATTCTCGGAGCAGCCTCACCTTTTCTCCCTTACTGCGTGTCAGGACAACAGGGTCGTTCAGTACCAGATTTCATCTTGTCTTTTTGCTTGTCATTTGTGCTGCTCCCTGTAAAGCATTACTGTGTGGTAAAACATTTTTCTAGTGACATATAAACAACTGGCATGAACATTACAGATACTCTTTATGACAAGCATAACCTGAACTCATGAACCTTTCATTTTCAGTTAGGCCTTTGTAGTATGATTTTGCTTCAACGGGTAAGTTTTCTTACGCCAGATCTGTGACAGAGCATTTCAATGGTGGAAGTAAGAGCAGGATTTCCTGGCCTACTTCAGTAACCATGGTCCAAATTCTGTAAGGTAATTTTTCTGTAAATGTGCTGGCTACATGACCTGAAGGTAGAATTTGCTTCCTGCGTTGTGATGACATCTGGAAAAAATTGATTATTGGTCTCAAAATAGTACCTATTCTAAAATAATTTATTGATAGGAAGGAAGATGAGTGGAGAAGAATACAAGTGCTATTTCATATCAGCTATTGCTCATATGGGATTTGAAATAAAGTGCTTTTCCAGAAAAGTTCCTTCTGCCTGAAGTATATTTTATAAATGCTCCTAGTGGTTGGTAAGTAATTTTTAAGCACAGTGATTAGAGTCAGGTTTACTATAGATTTTTCTTTTGTTCATAAGACTAATTTTAAGCAGTAGTTTAAAGATTGTTCAAGAGCAGGAGGCATACTACACTTTTAACTTTGACTGCTGTTCTTACTGGGATACAAGAAGTGGCATTGGAGCTTTCATTTTTCAAGTTAAATGAGGATATAAAATGTGCCTTTCAGCTTAAATGTTAGGTCTGTGTAAAAACTGTGAGAGTGATTGCCTTCTTTTTCTTGCAGCTGGGTGAGTGCTGGCCATTAGCATGTTCTGCTTTTTCCCACTGTTTCCACAGTATAGAAATGGGGAGGAAGGGCAGAAAATAATACTATTTTCATCCATGTATCTGTTTGAAGTTACAATAGTCTGAAAATTGCTTCAACTAGCTGTAGGAAATAGTTTGTTTCTGAAGTATGGATAAAGGCAGAGATGATTTCTAGAAATTTGATAAAGTGTATCAACACCTTTTTTAATCTTAAAAGGAAACTTTTTTTCCTTAGGTGATAATGGCATTGGAGAGTAGCAGAAGTTTATTACTACAAATGTTGTGTGCTGGTTTTACAGAACAAATTGAAGGAGTAACCAGGCATGCATGTATTCCAGCAGATTTGAGGGGGCAGCCAAGTATTAATGTAGTTCAGCTGCAGCGAGAATAGATGTGTTCTCCCGGTTTTAATAAATGTCTTCCCATCACATGCACAGAAACTTTTAATTTGGATTCCTCTGGATACTGCGTTTTTACCTGGTTTTCCCAAATGTATGTACATACTCTTGAAAGTCACCTCATATATGTTTGGAGCTGATGCTTTTAACTTAGTTTCTTGGTTTTGTACCAGAAGGCTGGTGACTACCTAATTGCTGTATGCTGCTTTTTATTCGTAGAGATAAATGCAGTGTAGCCTGCCACCAGTTTGCTATATCCTATAGTCCTTATGCTCTTTAAGGTAAAGG